GATAACTCTTATGTTATAACTTAATTTTATAAAATTAAGTAAAATTCAAACTCACTTTCTAAAAAAATTGTGAATCAAATATAAAAAAAAAAACTATCTCCTCTCTAATTCTTTCAACCAAATAATATTTTAAACTCCCCTCTTTATTTTTTATTTTTTAACCAAACAAACTCTTTATACATATCTAATGCTAGGGATGAAGACAAGAAAATAATAAGAAGAAGCCAAAAAAATAAAACTCCCATCAATAATGTGGTCTCCACTTGGAGTAAATAGGCCCGATTATTATTAATGGTTGTGTGATATAGCAAGATTGAATAGTCATTTATAAATTTGAATGCAGAGCCTCACACCATTTGGCACCCTGAATTATGCACCCAAATTGTTGGGTCACTTTCACCTTTAAGTAGGCATGGCGGTGTGGGACCATAATCTGCCACCAACCACCTTTCCTTCTTCACCAGTATCCTCCTGCATGCCTTCCAATGCCATTTGCTTTCATCATAAAATAATAATAACAGAGTTAATTACTTTAATTTTTAAATATTAATTTCTTCTATCTTTTAAATTTTTCAATTTTTTTATCTGTCATAAATTTTATTAATTCGATTTAATGATGACTTTTAATCACTAGATATGTCATATATGTATGTTAATTTAAAGGTCAAAAAACAGTGATGCATTATTATTAAAACTGATTAATAAAGTTATTAATAAAGATAAAATTTGACATATTTAAAAAAACTAAAATTTAACCTTATCCGATGTAAATAAATAGTTGTCAAGCAATTAGTCTTATCCAATGCAAACAAAATTTTCTCTGAGAAATGCATAATGAAAAAAAAAGGTGAGTGTATGAATAAGGTTCATTGGCATTGATAGAGGCATGAGGTATGTACCAAGTTGAAAGACTCTCTCATATTATTACTTCGACAATGGTTTTGAAATGGCAACTTGCAACCGATCAAACTTTGAAAGATATTTCTTTATGTGAAATATAAGCATTAAAGGGACTTTTGTCTTGTAGATATATATAGCTATATATTGTTTTGATTTGATAATTGATACCCCACCCTCTACACATAAGGATATGATAACTACAACATATATGCAGCTAGCCGACCTTTTTTTTCGCCATATGTATTCTGTGTTATGGTTCTATGTACCAACAAATGATCTAAAAGAAAAAACATTAATTATCTAAAAGAAAAAACATTAATTGTGGAGGCAAAAAGGTGGATCATTGTCAAAGGAAGCATTAAAAAAAAAAAAAAAAGTGAACAACGTACAAAATAGTCTCTTTAATTTCGAGTGTAGTTCTACGATGTGTGTATAAAAGATTTTGAAAAAATAGTTATATATACAACATAACTTACAGTGTGAATTATTTTTGTTCAAATAACAGAAGTGTTTACAAAGTAAATACAGAACACCAACGTTTTTGTTGATTAGAGTTCAAACAGTTTTATGGATGAAAATATTGTAATTAAGAAGGAAAACTCAAATAAATGCGGTAAGGTTCTACTAACAAAGGTTAATTATCAAAACGATGGTAGATACTTTGCATAACATGATAAGAAAAAAGAATACTACTCCTATACTTTCACGTATTTAACACCAAAATAATGGGAAAAGGAGAAGAGAAAAAAAAACTATTTTATGGAGTCCAATTATGATACAATTAACATGATAATTAATTTGACATGTATTTTAAGCTAGCTTTCAACATTTTTTATTGGTTCGAAAATTTGTTTTTATCATATAATAGTTTTTTTAAAACAGAATCATATAATAATTACCACAAAATAAAATATTTGGAGTCATTAGAAAATCAATGATTAATTTTGAATTGAAATACAACTTCGGTGGATGTTTCAATCTTTTAGAAAATGTGATTCTACCATTATAACAAATGTTTTGAGTTGTTGTCGTTTTTCATTTAAAGTTTACTTTTGTTTTTTTATCGTGCCTCATACTAACTTAATAGACTACAAGAATTTTGAATATCTCTTCTGAAAAAATTAAGGTTTTGATACGAGTTTTAACACTTCCAAGAGGTGTTAAGAAGTTCTCGACCAAGCTTGTAACGATTCAAAATCGAACTCCCATTTTAACCTATTCGTCGTAGAAGCTCATCTCAAGACCGAGATTTACATAGATACACTTGGGTCACAATTGAAAGAATTATCTTGGATAAAGGGATAAAAATAAAACACGAGATATTAAGCATACAAGGCACACATTGATAAGATTCTAAAAGATATGCTATAAATACTGGGGAAAAAGGATATCAAAGATAACCATGAGAAAATAAGGTTAAATAGGTAGGTGAAAACCCTAAGCTGCCATTGATTCAAGAAAACGGTACGCAATAGAAGAGAGTAATTTGTATATTGATACTCCAGTGACAAGACCACCAATTTGTGACTGGAACAATTTTTAAAAAAATGTTAAAATAAGTACTCTTAATTGTTATATAATTATTACATCCAATTACTCGATAATATACATACTTACATACATATATATATATATATATATATAGAGAGAGAGAGTAAGGGGAATGATCCGTTTACTCTAAGAGTAAATTTACCTAGACTTACTCCATTTAATAACTCATGTTCTACATCAAATTTCAACGATCCAATCGTTGAATTTAAAGTTCTTAATGCATAGATCGAATATGCAAAATTTAAAAAAATTTGAAAATCATTTCATACTTTGCTTAAATAATTCAAATCAATGTATAAAATAATTTTATAATTATTTGTCAATTTGAATTAATAAAATGAAATATCAAATGATTTTTAAATTTTCTAAAAATTTGTAGACTTGATCTATATATTAAGAACTTTAAATTCAACGATTTGATCGTTAAAATTTGATGTAGAACATAAGTTATTGAACGGAATAAGTCTAGGTAAACTTATTCTTGGAGTAAACGGACATATATATATATATATATAATAAGTTATATACCAAATAGGTATCAAAATAACATTGACATAATAGCTAAGGCTAAGATTTATCTTAATAGTCAAGACTGAGATCGAGGTCTAAAATTTGAGGCATAGGCTCAAAGGCTAAAAGATCAAGACATGTTCTCGAGTTAAGCACAATCTTAATTCTTAATGAAATAAGTATTGTGTTACCTAATAAATAATAAGGAAATCACATCTTAAGAACCCAAACTCATTATAATTAGTATAAATAATGATCTTAAGTTGAAGTAAAAAGTTGTTGTTACTTGCATTTATCATATATTTTGTTATTGTGAGTCGAGATCTTACTTAAACGTTAAATTATTTTTTGCAGGTATTTCACTACTCAGATAATTCGATGAATGAATACTTATTAGTTGGATTATAAAAGTGAAGATTATGAAGGAGAAAATTACCAATGTGTTGGGAATATGCCTAAATATCTTTAAGAGAATAAATTAATTTTTTATAAGAATTTTATATTTATGTTTCAAATATTTAGAATTAATTTATTTTGATTATTTTAGGATGTGTTTCCTTGTTTTTAGAATAAGATAATATCAGTATTTGATTTTATATGATAATTTTTCTCTATAAATAGAGACCTTGTGAATAAAATTAAATAATAAAAATTATCTTTACAAAATATAAATATAAAATAATACCCTTAGACAAGTACAAATTGGATTTACATTAAAAATATGTTTTTGGTTATATAAGAAGGTATAACCCCTTTCTATTGAATCAACAAAATGGTACCTACAGAGATAAAAATGGTACCAATTTTTAATGCCAATTTTCATTCAATTTTAGACTATATAATGTAATATGTGTTTTTCTAATAAAAAGTTATTACTTCTAGATACTTAAAATTATTGGAAATAATAATAATAATAATAATTAATGCAGTTAGAAATTACTACAAAGTTCATGCATCATGCGTAACAGCGTAAGTGACTATTTTATTTATTTTTTTGAAAAGTGACTATATGTATGTGGATGACATGCACGACCTTTACACTACCACTACCACATTCTCTTCTCTTGGATAACCAACATTTTCATTTTCTTTTCTTCCATATTAGGATGAAACCTTCTGTTAGCAAACTTAGTGCGATGTTTGATCAATCACTGCAAGTAAAGGAAGAACCAGAAGGTTTCGTTCCTTCTTCTCAGGCTAAACATACCTTTCGTATTATTATCACTAATGATGGTACCTTGGACAAGAATGTTGTTGATATCACAGGGAAATGTACTAAGTTTCCAGAACGTGACACTACATGCTTATTGTCATGGTTTGGAAAATCTCAAATGTAATGAATCTTTTTCAAATAGATTGATACAATCCTAAGCAGAACTTATCAAGAAAGCCTTAGCCATTATGCCTTACCCTCTTGTTTCTGGTTACTTTGATTGATCCTCATCTACTTCTTGCATATCGTCGGTTTGAGGAACCGGGCCTGGCTGCTCAGATAGCTTCAGGCCCACTTAAATTAGGGTGTCGTGGTAACGTAGGCCCATTAGCCACAGAAAAATAAAGTTCTCATTATTTCCAAAGATGCAATTTTAGTTAAGAATTAAGCGCAACTATGACATGCATTGAGACTATCCGGCAATGCTTATGAAGTTATGATCAACTTTTTTTTATTAGATTACAAGAATTTTTTATCTTATGTCTCGACGCAATGGTTGCAGTGCCTTCTTTCGACCGTGATAGGAGAATAAAATTAAAAGTATTTGATCACAATAGGATTCATAACAAAAATTATAAGCATTAAACAATCAACTTTAGCAGGTCAGTGACAATGATTGTACTGTAAAGTTGCTCTCAATTATCTCAAATTAACCCCAACACTGAAATATTGGATTCCATTTAACTATAATTACCAGAAACAGTGGAAAAGATTTGTTACAAGTGCGCTATAATATTCTACGTTTTAATCTTTATATGAATATTATTTCATGTATTTTAGTATTTAAATATAATTAATTTTTTGAAAGAGACCGAAATCCAATGCATGGACAAATGTAGGGACCAATTAAATAATTAAATATTTTTTCCTACATATTTTGGTCAACGTATGTAGTTTGGTTCTGTCTGGTTGCAACTATAGTTTTTCTATCTTAAAGAGCCACAACATATGAAAGAGAAACAAGCATGCTCAAAGAACTAATTGTTTTCCCATGTGAAGCAGGTACCCGTCAACTTCATTCACCAACATATGTTTCACTTCAGAAGTAAAGCCAAGAAAAATGAAAAGAATCATCAAGAAGGTCATTCGTGAAAGTAACATCACTGAAAACAATATCTACCTAAATAACCAATGAAAACAAAAATTATCTTAGTTAGCAATCACTCACTTGGTTAGTTTCCATCTCTTCCACTGGCTACCAATTTCCCTTTTAACAATTCAAGTACAAGATAAGAAAAGTTGTAACAAGAGATGGTAATCAAAGTCAAGGCCATTTTGCTGTCACACAGAAGCCTCTATCCGAGGCTCAAATGAAAAGGCAGACATAAAGTCTATGTCTTCTCCATTTATGCAACATTTTGGCAATTCAACCCATTTGTTGGTCTCCAAATCACACAAAATATAAGTGCATAACTCAGTGGAGCTCAAGCATATAAAGATTTGGTTACCAGCACCAACACAGTTAATATCAGCCTTCTTTCCATACCACTCATGAGAATTTGCTGCAGGCATTGCTGCAACCTGATGCCACCCTCTATTAGCCTCATCATATTTCCACACCCTGAGAGTAGCAGTTTCCAAAAACTCTGATAACAAAACAACTAGCATCTCCCCTTGGCACTCCACAACATCAATGGAATACTCACTAAAAACAGGCAACAACCTGGGGTACTCAAAGAAGCACTTGCATGTCAAATTGCAAGCTACTACATTCCCTGAGGAGCTAAGAAAATACACAATCTCTTCGCCATCATTGTTAGTGATAACCGACGAATATTGCTTGGAGGGACTTCTCTGCATGTTGCTAGCCACAAGAATTCCAGCTTTGCTTAGGAAGTACACAACATTCTCATCAGGGGAATCATAATCGTATTCCATGGAATTCTCTTCAACTTTTCTCCTTAATGCAGTCTCATCCTCCCAACATTCAGAGTTTGAATTGTAGACCTTAAACAAGAGATTTGGAAGTTCACCAAAGACTAACACAATTTTGAAGGAGAGTTGGTCTTTGGAAGTTGTGCTCATCACAATGGCATTGAGAGGTTGGTGTTGTGGTGCAAGCTGCAGTGGAGGGAGTTCTCTACAAGATCCTGACACAGGGTTGCTTACAATGAAGTTTCCGCATAACTTACGGTAGCAAATCAAGCCACCAGAGGCTGCAACCGGCATGCAATTTTGGTTGGATTCTTCTTGGAGAAGAGGTGGATGGTTTAGTCTTTTCCATGTACTCTCAGCAGAGTCAAAGATAACAGATTGGTTAAGGTTGGGAGCAACCATCAAAAACCAAGGATCCCTTGAGGGAATGTGAGAGCATGCAAGTTTGAAACTGGCAGAAGATGCAACTGATTTCCATCTCTTGCACACAGAATTCAGGCGAAAGAATGTGGAAGTTGGAAGCCATGAAAGTATCCTTTCAAAGAGATCTTCATTAAGGTCATCCAGAGAAATGATGTTATTGAAGAGTAAATGGTCTCCAATTTCTGGTGATTTTCTCTTCAAGCTTACAACACTCTGGCCACACTGATCATTACTTTCCATTGTCAAAAAATCTGTGGAGAAACACCAAAGAAATAAGATGTTACTAAGCAAACACATCCTTTGCATTTTCAAAGCCTGTATATACTACAACTATACTAATCTAAGAACCCAATAGAGGTGAATGAAAATTTCCAAATTGAACCATATAAAAAAAAATAAAAAGTGCCATCGAATTAGCTAACAATCTAAAAGAGATCCGCGAGGCCAAAAATCAAGAATATAACGACCCTTTGCTCCCCCAACCCCCCTACTATAGTGATATATTTTCAACATAACGATTCTTCAGCTTTACTACCAAAAATTGCAACACTGCCGAGTTAGGAAACATTTAAAAGACCCTCGTTGCATAAATTTATTGATCAAAAACCTTTAAGTTTGAAAACACCCCCTTCAATTTAGTATACCCTCCTTCACACTGTTCATTCTTTGGACTTGAAACAAAAAAAAGGGCAAAAAAAGGACAATTTTCAAGCAGGACTAAAGGTAAATCACAGTCACTAAGACACACACATGTTAAAAGGGTCCAATTCAGTGAACATAAGCAAGCAAGCAAGAAATAAAGGGTACCTTGTAGAACTGAAAGTGATCCTTTGTAGAGCACTGTGGGAAGGAAAACAACAGAGTGAGAGTGTTAGAGAATAGAAGACAAGAGTGAGATAGAGATGGGGTTGGATTGGAGAGTGCTTTGAATTAATATTGGTGATGGGGTTGAAAAGCTGAAACAGTAGGAAGTATGGTAGGAAGCTTCATTCGTTGGAGTTGGATGGTTGACACTTGAACACCCTCAGATGTGGATGACACACACCACACCACACACACACACACACACGGGTGTCCTTAATGTCAAATGTGTTGTGTGTACCTTCGTGTATATATATAAAATCATTGACAAAATCTATCCACAATTTCCCAAATTATTTTCTAATTAGAATTTTATATTTCTTCACAAAAGCTTGTACTCACATTTAATATAAATATTAGCAACCCTTCCTTAAAACACTTTTTATTTTAACATTTTCTGTATTATTCATTAAAATAGTTCAAAAATAGAAGTAATGGTCATTTAAGATGTTTCATTTGAAAATCTTAAACACTGGTTAAAAAAGTTAAAATATATACGGATTAAGAAACATAATTTGATTCCCCTCAAAAAAAAAAAAAAAAAACATAATTTGATGACATATTTAGACAACAAATTACACTGTATTACTATAAAAACGTACTATAATCTTATGTATTCCTTTCCTTCCAAACATATATACAATTCTTTTCCATTAGAATTAGAATTTTACTATATTAAAAACAGCACAAACAACACCAAACCAACCCATTTCTAAATTGTTTCCTTTGGTATAATAATTATGTGGCATTTGAGAAGGGAAGTAGTTGACTCTACTCGTTACTCTCCAAGGAATCAAATTAGGCCTTGGATTCGGGGTTGGAAAAAAACAGAAAGAGTGCACACATGAGATGACACGGGCGAGACAAGAAAAAAAAAAACAAAAAAAGAACTGATGGCACATGTAACACTTTAATCGTCGCCACCACAAACAGAGAGACAGAGAGGCAGTGCCTAAAAGAAAGAGAAAGGACAGTGAAAAATGTCAAAGGGTTTTGTTTTCTCTCTCATTGGCTCCCAAAGCAAAGCATAAAGCAAGTGGCAACCCTAACCCTAACCCTAACCCTAACCCTAACCCTAACCCTCTATTTCCGCTCCTCGTTAAGCGAATCTTTGTCTTCTTTTGCCTCTCATCGGACTACGCTACTACAACTACAAGTCAATGCTCATTGTCCAATGCCCCATTCACAGCCCAACCATTATTTTTTTTATATTAAAAAAGCTAACTAGTTTCGATTATATTACATTAAATTGCATTAGTGGAGAGCAAATATTGAAATATTAAAGCCGTTAATTAAGATCTTTTTTCTTTTTCTTTTGCTCCTCCTCTCCTCGTGTGCAAAGCCAACCATGCACTTGTCTCGATTCCTCACATCATGCAACCTCATTTGTCTAACAATGTTTCCCCTTTCTTTATTCACCCCCAATAAACATTACAATAGAAACACTTTTCATGAGTCTAGACTAACATTACATTACACAGATTAATCTAGTTGACATTACATTTTTATAAATTGTCGCTTTTAAATCGGTGGGGTTAATTGCCGATTTGCCGTTTCTTTCGGTTCTTTTATATATGGTTGTAAAATATTGCTGCTGTGCCAAAAGTAAGATTGTTATCATCATCAAAGAGATGGTTATGGTAATAAGCTTTAGCTTCAGAAGGCAATAAATTGAAAGATAAAAGCCTTCTCTGAATCAGAAACATATTTCAGTTACTAGTCTCTTTCAGTATCTGGCAGAATTTATGTTACTTGTCTTTTTCGAAGTAAACTGAAATATCAGTGCAGTGTCTTTATCTTACGTTTTTGTTTTGCAAATTATCTTTTTCATGTAACAAAAAAGATCAACTTTATTTTTTTAAAAAACCAGGTATTCGTCATTTTCAATTGAAAGGGCTGGTAAATGGTAATCCAAATAAATGTAAAATATTTAATTATTATATCTGGTAGACTTCAAATGCATATTATAATCATTACACAATTATTTTTAAAGCTCTTATTTTCTTTTATAAAAAATAAATAGAAGCATAAATCACTTCAACCCCACCAGTATATGTTATAAAATTAAAAGAAGTCAATTTATTCATATACAAATTACATCAACTATTATATTATTTAATATATTTTGATTACATAATTTTATTTCAAAAATCATTAGATTAAAATTTTGTTATATAAATTATATTTGCAAAAATTTATATTAATGTAAAATTATTTAGTATCTCAGTATACATAAAATTGATGCAAAAACATTTAAATAAGAACTATGTGATTACACTGTAACGATTATTTAATTCTGACAAACTTTGATATAGATAATAAATAATCAAAAGTGATATATAATTTAGAAAATAAAATCTTAAGTTAACCTAGACATTATATAATAAGTGAAAAAATGTAAACTATTACTTATGAGATTCTAAGCTGATTTCTTCTCTATTATTCTGATAGATGCTTAAAGGCTTTTCTCCGGCAACTATTAATAATCGGCATATTTATTTATTTATTTTGTGAGGGCACGTGTTAAGAATTAGATTCGGGGCACAAATTGCAGATAGAGGCTAAGAGGCACATTACAAAAAAAAAATTCTTTATTTATGTTCTGTGACTGAGTTCAGGAGTAAGGAGTCATATGCTCACTATGATAAAATTAGAGAATCCACGTAGAACTGTTACAATAAGATCCAAGGTTCCAGCAAATAATGAAACCCCAGACAAAAATTTCCCAACTCATCGCCTCTTTCCGATGATGGGATACTCAAATTGATATGAACAATTAAGAACAATAGCTGCCCCTAAAGTATTAACTTATTCCCTGATATTTCCACTTTCTTATCTCCATTTCCTTTGTCAGCTTCAGAATTATCAGAAGCCAATCTCCGCTTCAATTGATGCATTTCAGCTGAGGGTTTTTCAGTGGAAAGAGTACCATCACATTTGTTTGCACTGGCATACCCATTGCTATAATTTGCAAAGCCATTTGCTGTTACCTTGCATTTAATCACATTTACATGTTCTGCATCTGAATCTTCCCTTGTGTTTTGAGAATCCACTGAAACAGAAGAATGCTTGTCAAAGCGAGAAAAGCCATTAGGTAAACATGGAGAAGTGGACTTAGTTATATCACTATCATCTTGCTCTTCCATGCAGTCCGAAATCTCTTCCAAAACAGACGAGCATGTATTTGATCCGACCATATCTACATCCCCCAAATCTTTGACAGCTTCAGAATCATGCACATTGACAGATTCAACACCGTTACCAAAAGACTCATTAGCAACATCCTTAGAATGCTCTGTCTTAATTCCAGTGTCCATTCTGGACAAACACACATTTTCACCGCCTGAAAACTTCGACACTGGACTATTGTCAAATGGAATAGCCTCACATCCTCCACTGTAAGTCTCAGTTTTCATATCCGAGAGGCATTCAGCTTGTTCAGTTGGGCCAGATTGCACCTCCGGTTCAACTGTTTGCACTTCAGCTATCTCTGGCGATTCAATACTTTGAAGTCCTGATGGTCGAGCATTAACCCTGTCCAGGAGCAAATCAAGTAACATGCGCGTTATCTCCATTAGAGAGAGTATTTGGCACAAACTATTGTGAACAAAAGCAAAGTGTATTTTCCCTTGCTTTTGACATTGGAATCATTCTTTATCAAACCTTGGACAAAGATGGTATAAATAATCTCACAAGAAACAGGACTATGGAACTAATTTAAATAAGCTTCCAAGATTTAAGATCTCACGCAGAAAGAAAAGAAAATACACTCCATACGGGAATGCAAAACTAAACACAATCTCAAATCATATAAGCAAACTAGTTCAAACAGAATACATCGCCCAAAGCATAGGGCACAGGTTTCCCGTGAGAAATATAAAACGAACAATAAGAAAGACAGATTGCACTGAAAAATTATGCCAAACACTAACAAAAATATAACTTAATTTTCTTTTGATCATGCATACGAAAAGGTTGGCCAATGTTCTAGTAGTTAGCCTGGCCCATCCAAGAGATCAGATTGCCCCAGTTCAGGCCTTGTAAATGATCAAGACCAACTAACAATACTTCAAACATGTGATCATGATGACAGAACCAGCTATTTGGCCAAACAATTAGCATTAGGCTAAAAAATTTTCTAGCCCGAAATAATGTCAATGAACATAAAGAATAAACCTAAAATGTTAGCCCAAGTTCAAAGGGTATCTCATCATTTAAGCACCCCATGAAAGGTGGGAGAGCACACATATACTTTGGAATAATATTGTCTGAGTAAGAGAACAGTCGGCCTCTTTAACTCATGGTCACAAGCATACCTGCTATACAACAGCATATATGCGGCCTGAGAAAGCACCTCTTCCAATTCCACTTTCATGACCTGGGAAATATAATGCAACTCATAAATAAACTTAAAACACACCCAAATAGTGCTCAGTAAAGAAAAAGGAAAATGTTCAAAGTTTCCTAGAGACAATGAAATTTACCTTCCAATCATCAATTCTATACCAGTTTCCACGGAAATCCTTGATGTAGCAGATGTAATGACCAAAAAATGAAGCATTCAGCATATCAATATGAACTACAACAGCATATAGCTTATAAATATCATATCCATATCCAGCTTCACTCGTGTAAGGACTAAGATCTAAGGTCTCAGGGAAAGTTACTCTCTTGTTAAGTTTTCCAAACCTCCCACTCTGCATGTTCACAACACCCGGAATAAGTAAAGGAGATAAACTGACAACTTAAAGACACATTCAAGTCTTTATATACTGGTAGGAAAAAGAAATAACGAATTCACAAAGTATGGTGCATAGTCATATTAAACTAACATCCATTCAGTTTACACCCCATGAAGCACATTTTGAGGGGCAAAATTACAACAAATCATAAGAAATGATAGTTATATTACTTAAAGCATCTGTCAACAACTCAGAAAGACCATCTAGATCAAATTCCTCAGACCTGAAATCTTTTCAAGGCAATTGTAAGAATATTTGGAGCTCGTTTCACTGTTAGACGTTTCCATGCCTTGACATAACCCTTGCATCTGCAAACAGCAAACAAAACTTGGTTAAGACAGGAACTGCCAAACAGCAAAAGCACATTATCAAAAACAATCATTTAAATTCTACATTTCAAGGCATAGTCAACTTTTTACCATACAAGTTCCCTATTTGTATTCCAAATTTAGTGCCACGGTCGTCAGAATACACACACCAAAATAGAAATAGATAAATAAATAAAAGACACATTTAAATAGGAAATAAACCGACCAAGAATACTGATATAATCAGGACAAAAACAGCTGTTAAATTAATTCAAGAAATTTTTTCAATTAAAAAACATTATGGTTATCAAAAGAACAAATTAGTGAGAATTGTGAGTCAGGCTACACATTTGTTCTGGTATTTACTGATCGATTTACAATCAATTAGAGCGTAATCTTAGCAGACCAAAAACTATTCTCTAGCCTAATAGTCAGGAATTGATCATTCTAATCCAAAGAAGACAAATATGAATGGTTGACTTTATAGTCTAACATTAATGTCGGTATTCTAATGTTGATGTTATTATTGTAACAAAGATCAATTCTGAAGCAGCATTTCCATATATATATAATAATTAATTTACAAATATAAACATATTTTTCCAAGCAACCTTACCCATCACATTTATACATATTATCCCCATGAAGCCACTCCTTGGCAGTAAACTGATCTAGACATTCCTCCAAGGAAGCAGCATCTCCGTGAATTTCAACTGTTAAGTCCATCATATTTTCATATTGATTTGAATTCTTCTCACATTCAGTGCAAATCACCTGTTTTTTTTTTGAAGAAAAAGAACAACAAATTGGCTGTGTCAGCAGCATTGATAATCACCCAAAGAAAAATGAAGGCAAAAAGTTTCAAAATATTCAATATGCATAAGACTAGTCCCTGAGGAAATTATAACTTGAATTAACGAGGAAAATCACATGACAGCTTTTTCCACCCACCACAATTGACCAATTACTGGTTACAAGTTAAATTGAGCACCTTATAAGTCCTTTATGAATTGTGTCATAATAAAATGGGTGTATCCCTTCATACTTGACTGACTTTTTCAATACACAATTAAACTAAGAACTTTAGTGAAACAATGGTCTGTTTGTTTAAGCTTAAAATAAGTGATTCTATGATACAAGTTACAACATTTTTCCAGAGCATTTTTTAGAAGCTCTTATTTTAGCTTTTGTCAAAAGCAGCTAAAACATATTTAAGTTTATGCTTTTGTTGACAAAAAAAAGAGTTTTTTTAAAATATTTAATTTAAAAGTGCCTTTTCTAAAAAAAAAAAAAAAAAAAAAAAAAAAGGCCATGCATCTTTCTCAGTCTTTATGATGATCATCATCATCATTTATTTCAAAGGGAAAAAATTTTAAAAAACAATAATCATGTGGGTGTGTGGCAAGTATCACTGTGTTGCTATAACAATTGCCAATTGAACAACTAGCTAAAAATTATATTTTAAAATTGATAAAGGATGAGAAAAACTGAAACTCAAGGCCAATATATAAGATGGACTTTACAAAGATTTAAAAAAAAAAAAAAAAAAAAGAGTCCATCTTCATGGGAAGAGCACAGTAAGATTTAATTTTCAGAGACTGTTATTTTCCATCTTGACTAAAGAAATAGAGTTCTAAATCATTATTCTTAGGGCCTCTTAGGATGGACTAACTTCTCAGTTCATGAGATTGGAAGAGTAAACAGACAAGCATCATCTAATCATTTCATGCTAAGTTGCCAAGAATATCATTTATCATTTTAAGAAATGCTATAGACACCTTCTCTAACACTCTTGTTAATACTCTCTTTACTATTAGTTGAAAATTACAAAATTTGGTAGGTCCTACCACTGAATCAAAATAAAAACCTATTAAATGAGATGCAAGAACCACAAAATCTATGATTTCCAATAAATTTCAATCAATAAAATTGAGTGTTAAATAGGATGTTAAAGAGAGTGCCACTAGTATTTCTCTTTCATTATTATGCACAAAATGACACATTATAAAAAGGTGTCCATGTTCAAACCAGAGAACTTTGATTTTAGTCTTATTGGACGTCTAACCTCGGATTGAAGGTGGCCACCAAAAATGTGTTGGATAAGGGTTGTTTCCTGAAGCTTAGGAGCAACAGCTTTTTCTCCACCAAACTCTTCGAGGCAAACAGATTGCATCGCATCAATTGCAAACCTACAACATCATTAAAATATTGGGGGGAAAAGAAACCCTTAGTAGTGCCATACCAAATTAAATGTAAGATAGACACCCTTCCAAATAGTCAATGCACAATATCACAATGGAAAGTCAAATAACATTGCTTCAACAACAAAAAAAACCTCATGAACTCATGGGCATCCTCTTGTCTTCCATAACCCAGTGTACCACCAATATTAGGCAATCGAGAGAGAATATTCATCGGAGAGAACGCCTGAGAACTTAGCCTTGCCTTTTCAACATGGGTTTCAAATTCACAAAGAAAGCACCAATCATTATGACAGCCTGAAAAGCCACGTCAAACAGACGTAAGTATGAGTAATAACCCAGATCTAGCAAGAACTAAAAGATCTCTTGAGACATTACATTCTTTGCGGTGGCCATTCTCCAACAAGTAGGCAATAAGCGGTTTTGTGAATGAGAGACATTGGAGAACCACATTTGCAAAGCAGCTGCGCAAATTTGCAATAATGCACATTAAATTCCACCTGAATCCTCTCTTTGCAATCTATCGATGGTAGCATGTAATAAAAGCAAACCTGTTTCCACAATTTAAGAGTCCACAAGGAGGAAATCCTGGCTTGTCCCAGTTAAACAATTTGACGAAGTCTTCATAAGGAAAAAGAACCTGGAAAACCAAAAACGAAATATATGGGCACAAAGGGCAGAAAAAAAACAAAAAAAGATTCAACTTGGTAAGGAATGTATCATGTAATCTTACCAATATATTCATATGATTTGAAGGGGGGAAAAAGAGAGAAAAAACTTGTGCCTTGAATGTTTACTGTTTTGAAAAACAGCTTTTCACTTTCTAAAATTATACCAACAAGAGTTGGTTCATGGAAAATGCTACCAAGTACTTGAACATATCACTTGAACAAAACAAAAAATAATAAGAAAAATCTCAACTGTTTTCGTGCTTTGGTTTTCAAAATACTTGTCTTGGAAACAATTTTGAGACTGCTTGATAATTGTTGAGTTGTATAAGATTTCTAAAACAGTTCACAAAAAAAAAAAAAAAAAAAAAAA